GAAAATATCAAAATCAAACAAATACAAATGTTTAAACATCTGGGGAGTGTTTTAACAGAGAATGGAAAATGTGGCAACAAAATGTGAAGACAAATTAAAAGAGCAAAAGGTGCCTTACAAAAGCTAAACAAAGTATAAAGAAACAAGAATATTTTGTTATAAAGAAAAGATTGCTGAACTGCTATTTAATATCAATCCTGAAATTTGAAGTTGTGTTTGGATGACAAAAGATACCTTCCAAAAGCTAAGAGTTCAGAAACAGGATTCTGAGAACACCATAGATGAAGCTAAGATTTCTTGGACACACAAGTAAGGAAGGAAGGCTTGGAAAATTTAAAACTCACAGGACACAGCAAAGGAAAAAGGTTCAGGTGGATGGTAGTGAGCCACATACCTGACAAGCTTGTGTTAATGGATAGTGGAAAAAGATGTGGGAAGGATGATAAAAAGATGAACATTACTAAGAGCTACAAAGAAGAGGACACTGTGGAGAACCATGATCGCCTACATCCTGATGGGACATGGCACAAAGAAGAATAAGTATTTGCTGACTCATTGATTACAAGTTGATCTGAGAAACACATCAATAATCTATTAGATATTTTCCACAAAGCCACAACTGTGGAGCACCTGGTGAGGATCAGACCCATAATTAGTGAAATGCGTGCGTGTACTTTATTACAAAACAATGAAAACTCTTCTTATGTGTCATGGTATATTTAGGATATAGGTGTTCATGGCTCTCTACAACTTCCTTTTCTTTGTAGCTCTTAGTAATCTTTGTCTTGTCATTATCTTCCTTCTGCCATCCATTTATACAAGTTTGTTAGGTAGGTTACTCGCCACTTTCCTCTGTCCCTCAAAATTCCCTGTGAGTTTTAGTGTCTCTAAGTCCCTTTTCCTTATTATGTATCCTAAAAATGTCAACTCTCTGATTCTAAGTAAAAGTGTTCTTTTTGTTTACATTTTCCTTAAAATTTCCTTATTACTCAAATGTTCAGTCCATGGTATTCTCAGTAGTCTTCTGTAGAATCATATTTCTGTTGCTTCAAGTCTTTTCTTTATCTGTGAGGAGATTACAATAGTCAGTGTCATAGAGGAGAAATGGTATTACATAGAGTTTAGTACTCTCTTCTACTGAAATTTACCCAATTCTTAATACTCTGCTTAGCTTTTGAAAGGTGTCTTTTGCTATTCCAATATACCTTTGTATTTCAGTGTGACATTTTCCATCCTCTGATATCTTCCTAGATATTTAAATTTTTCTACTTGCTTGATTTTTGGTATTTCCAACTCATAGTTTGTATCTTAGGTTGTTGTTCTTGCTAGAAGCCATATATTCTGTGTTTACCATTGATAGTCCTTCCTTCTCACTTATATACTACCTTCTCCAGGAATTTTTGTAGTTTCCTTTCTGCATTTGCTATTAATACTGTTATTTGTAGATCTTATGTTACTAAGAATGTGGCTGCCAATAATGAATCCTATTGGAACATTCATTTCTCTCAGGATCACTTCACTGTCAAGGTTGAATCAGTCTGGTGAGAATACACATCCTTGTTGTTTGTTCCTTGCTATTTTTGCGTATTTACTGAATTCATTTTCTATCTCAACCAACAATTCTTTATGATCCTGAAAATGAACTAGACAAACAAAAATTTAAAAGTCAAAAAAAAAAAAAAAAAAAAAAAAAATCAAGTTCTATCTTTTATATCAAATTGATTATATATTTGTAATTACTTAAGTTCTCAAATTAAATTCATCTCAGGTAACACTTGACACTTCTGATATTCTCAAAACTGTACGGGGATCAAATTATCTACCAAGATATTTTTATATTTGAATTTATCATAAACAGTTACCAGGATTTCTATTTTTGCTTGTTCTTGAGAATGTGCTGAGATGTGTGTTTTTTTTCCACTGTTGTGTGTGTGTGTGTGTGTGTGTGTGTGTGTGTGTATATATATATATATATATAGGCACATTCACATATCATTATATGAGACTATGTTAAAAAAAAAAAAGACAACTTGTTAACCAAAGTATTAATGCTAGAAGGCCTTGCATACCTAATAGAATGTTAGTGAAAATATTTGAAATTTTCATTTATGTCCATGTGTATGCAAAAATTCAGATATAAATAAAATATATCTGTAAAGACAATACAAATAAAAGAAAAACTTGCCTACCCTCCACCAATGCACCTCATCTTCTGAAGAACTCCATCAAGGCAAATGCCGAGACCTTATCTTTAGGAAAAAAAATTGAATTGAGAATGTTTCAAAACACACTTCAATCTGAAAACTTAATATTTTTCCTTCACATTGCTTCTGTTTACAAATACCAGTTGCAAGATAGGGTCTACACATTTTCTTTGATGTGGTTTCTTGGGTTGGGGATGATGCACATTGACAGTGGTGAATTATCTTTTTGCCATATATATATATATATATATATATATATATATATATATGTGTGTGTGTGTGTGTGTGTGTGTTAGTATGATATAGAATAGTATCCAAACAAAAGTGAATATATATATTTATATATATATTATTATTAATTCATCCTAAGCAAGGTAAGAATGCCACTAAGATGCAAGGAGTCACTGGAGTGAAAGAGAAAAAGAAGACTTTAGTGAAGAGAAAGGACAATAAAAGAACAACTTTCAGGAAAGACAGAAGATGGTGATTGACAACGCATTTAAATGTTTTGAAGATTGTCGGTGGCAGGGAAACTAAAAAATTTACAACTGAGTCTCTATTGAGGGACAAATTGCACAAACTAAACATCACTTTAGTTTGATGAAGTCCTAAAGGACAAAATGCACTTTTCCCTATTTTGTCATTAGTTTTTTCCCCACTTATTCATAGGTTCAGATAAATATATGTTATATGTAGATACAGAGTTATCTAACCATGACAGTTGATTGCCAGGATAAATCCTCTGAACTTTTCTTTATCTGTTAACCATTGTCTCCTTATTGGTCACTTTCTTTGTAAATATCTGCTTGCCTTTGAACACATTCAATTCTTGTAATGTTTACTTATTATTGAAATTATTTTTTCAATATTATTACTGAATTATTCTTATTGAGTTGTGTATATTTCTTATTACTAGAAATATTATATTTAATGGGAACGTGTTTGAGTTTCTAGCCCTGTTTACATGCACCCAGTAAACAGTGTTTATCTAACATATATATATATATATAATTTTAATATTACACAGAAAACATGTCAAAATCGCTACACAACTGCAGTAGTGTTTCTATACATATCAATGCATCTCATCAGACAATTGTAAATTACTGATGTGTGAACAATTTATTTATATTTAAAAGCAAAATACAACCTCTTTCTATGAAAAAAGGGATTTATAAGTTTTGTGGGTTTTACTCTGATCAACCAGTCAAATATGACCCATGTTAAATTTAAACTAAGCAAAGAAGCAAAAATTAAAATTTGCTTTTTATAAATAGGTCATGACCTGTAGATTGGCAGCTAATGGCAGCCAGACTTAAACTAAAGCAGATGCAAATGGTTATATAAATTATACAAACCAGACAATGCTGTTTCCTAAGAAATAAAAATGGGGTGGAGAGGTAATTTAACAAAATGCTAAACAAGTTACATACTTTGTGAATGTCCTAGATAACAATTTTTTATATTTGATAAATATTTAAATCTAAATAAATCATTCACTCACCAGTAATTTACAATTGACTGATGAGATGCATTGATATTCATCAAAACATGACTGCAACTGTGTAGCAATATTTACATGTTTTCGGTGTAATATCCTAAAATAAATAACATTACTCTATTCTGTTTTTGCATTGTGCCCTCTTTTAAATTAAATGTTACGAACATTGGAATTGTACTCTATTCATTCTCATCGTACCTGGAGACGATATATATATATATATATATATATGAGAGGAAGAGATAGATTCGAATTGTACTCATCTTACCTGGAGATTATATATATATATATATATATATATATATATATATACACACACATACATACATACATACATATATGATAGTATAAGGGACAAATAGGAAATATCTATAAATCTAACGTTTCACTTTTATTAAAGCTTCATCAGAGAATGAAATATGGAGTAGAAAAAGAAAATTGTCATTTTTAATTTTAGTGTTGTTTGTTTTTCATTGGTTAAGCAAACCTCACATGCATCTGTTTTGTCAAGCAGTGTTTGTATGTATGATTCATGTATGTGTATCAGTATATCATAATACTAGTTTGTTTATGTGAGATACAAATGATAATGTATGTTTGTGTGTGTTGATCTATATTTGACCCAAACTATGTATTATATATATATATATATATATATATATATATATAGTGGGGGAAATAAATATTCGTACACATAAAAATTGAATTTTTATAAATGTAAAAGCCTTCCTCCTGTCATATGCCCCAGTCAACCAATGTGTTTATAGGGCGATTATGAGTTGACTAGGAGATATATACACTCTCACACCCGTGGAGAGATACAAGCTATCTCTCTCAGATCATGAGAGTGGACAATTGGTAAACAAAAATATTTTTAAGACCACTGTTCGATTGGGATAATCGAATAGTAATCTTTCCCAGGTCCGCTTCGTTTTCAACATGAATACTGATCCACAATACAAGGATGAACTATAAGGCTTAGCGATTTTTTATACAATACTTTTAATATATACAAATATACATATATCAAAAATAAAAGAACAGTATGAGTTAAAACATTCGACGACCAGATCTTAAACTTATTTTGGGATATCAAATTCACCTAACACCAAATGGATTCAACTGAACCCGAACATACAAAAATATAAGTATGAATTACTATGAATTGAATGCAGAAGCCAACGCACACACAAAAAGGATGGGATAGGAGTTATAATTATTGTTTTGTGGAAAGGTGTTTGCAAAAACATAATATTCGTGGATGTATGTATATCTTTCTTCTATGCGTCCAAAATATGATTACTTATCTTTTATATTCAGTTCTCTTTTTTTTTTTTTTATATCAATGTCCTTTCTTTTCTCGACACAAACATAATTTCACACACTGTCCGGCTGTAACAGAGGTATACACTTTCTTCCTCACTTTGTTTCGCCTTTTTCTTTCCTTCCTTTTCTTCTATCGACAGCTCGGCTTCCAACCCGACTTACTGCAACAGGAATGTACACTTTCTTCCTCTCTTTGGTTTTCTTTTTTCTTTCCTTCTTCTTTACACAATTCAGCTTATAACAGAGGTATACACTTTGTTTTCTCTTTTCTTTCTTCACACAATTCAACTTGTAACAGAGGTATATACTTTCTTCCTCTCTCTGGATATCCGTTTCTTTTCTTTACACAATTCAACTTGGGATTATCGAACAGGATACTTCTTGTCCGGAGTTGCCTGGATTGAACTGGATAAGTTTCATTACTATCAAATGCGTCTTATCTTTCCATTCATAAATTATCAGCGCTTCAGCTACAGGTCTTGCCTCTTCAAAATCAAGATAGCAACTGATCCTCAAGTGAATCTCTGACTGTCACGTGTCTTAAGTTTTGGGCGCAAATTCTAACTTACAATCGTCCTCTGTCTAGCTTCTGTCTAGACATTTGTCGCTATGGTTAATTGGGTCGGTCAACCTTCTGACCTGCCTTCCCAAAATGTCATAAGACTCGCACGTGATCTTTATTCTGTTGCTAGGTGGAAATTAACCCTATCATATGCGTATTTAGGCTATCTGCTTTCATCACACATCACACTCCATACATGATTTCGATAATTATGACCAAACAACTATTTTAGTTTCATCTGTCCATAGTACTTTTCCCCAAAATGAATATTATTTATCCTTATGCTCTCTAATGAATTTTAGCCTAGCATCTCTGTGTTGTTTCAAGAGGAGTGGAGTCTTCCTTGGGATGCGTGATTTCAGACTGTTTTTGTGTAGTTCATTACTTATTGTACGCTTGGTTACTTTAATCCCTAATGCACGCAGATGTTCCTGCAGCTCTTCTCAGGTAACCTGTGGATTTTGTTGGATATGGCGTCCTAATATCCTTGCTGATCTTAGAGAAATCTTGCTCGGAGCACCTGTTTGTCTTTGGTTTTCAACGCTGTTACGAGTTTTAAACCTTGCAATGAATGAAGCAATTGTAGTAAAAGGAATATTCAGGTTGTTAGAAATCATTCTGTAACTGTTCCCATCTTTCCAAAGAGACAAAATGTGTTGTTTTTGTGAAATAGTCAATTCTTTACCTTTAGGCATTATTAGAACCTTCTCATTAGAAATTGCAGAATGCTCTGATAATGGCTAATAGCATTAACTATAATTACAGATAACATTACTGGAACATTCTAGAATATACTTTTTTTCATAATTAAAAGATTATTTTATTCTAATAATTGATTTCTATGAATACTTTTTTCACCAGTTAGAATTAAAAAAATACATTAATTTCTGTTAGAATAAGAATTAAGTTTATTATTTTTTAATAGTATGTGTCTTTAAGGCATTTACATTTATAAAAATATAATTTTTCAAGTGTACGAATATTTATTTCCCTCCCACTGTATATAATATACACACACAATTATGTATTTTGGCAGTAATCCATTTTTTATACAGGTTTCATTGAAGATATCTGACAAGGCACTGTGAAAATGCTTTTTATTACATTTTTCCTTGTATGCATACAAGAGATTGCTTTTACAGAAAATCCTGCACACTATGTCTGAAAAGGTAATCTTTTGTCATTCTGCAAGAAAAATATAATGAAACGTTTAATGACAGTGTCTTGTTAGTAATCTTCAATGAAACATATATATAAATATCCCGGTAAAATGAGAACAAATGAACTCTATATTTATGTAGCGATATTTAACATGTTTTTGTTTTAATATCCTTATATATAATGGACTCTCCTGTCAGTTTCGACGTATGAGGATCTGACAGCTTATTGAGTCAGTTATGAAAGTTTGTGCAATAATCTTAAGTGGCATTTAAGACCCGCCAGTGATTTACAAAGGAGGCCACATATGGAGCAAGTGTGAGGATTGTGAAATGAGATCACTGTTAGATTGGCTGACCTTTTAGATCTTGTGCTCACTTCTTGAAGATGATTCAGACAAGCAGATTGAAAATTGATGAGTCCACTAAAACATTATATATATATATATATATATATATATATATATATATATATTATATATTAATAGAGATTATAAGTATAAAAACTATACTTGCTCAGAAAACCTTCAGTGTGTTGATTTACAAATAAACAAGCCAATACCAAAGATGAAAAAAACTTATAAAAAAGAAAGAACCAAGAACATGTACGTTAACCGAAAATAATCGTCCAGCATAAAAGAGTTGTGTGTAATATATATATATATATATATATATATATATATATATATATATATATATTACACACGACTGTTTTATTTATTTATTTATTTTTTTTTCTTTAATCAATTTCACTCCATGCATGGCAGTAAAGCCCCTAAGGCATAAAGGGTTGCAGGGTGTGGAAGAATTAGAAACATTACTAATGAGTGGAAAGAAAAAAAAGAGTAAACAGAAGGACAGTAGACAGTGACTGACATTGCATTTAAATTTTTGCAGATTAAAGTTGGGTGGAAAGAAATCATTAGCATAAAATTTACAGTTACATCTTAGCCAACTCAACTGTAAATTAATGAAATCTCAATGTCTATTACTGTGCTGAAATTCAAGAAGTCTAGGTACCATCGCAAAGAGCACATTTGAACAATTTTAATGAAAGTATTTATAGAAAAGGCACAGGGAAATGGTGCGAAAGTGACTGAAGGCAAGACACCAGATCAGGACAAATAATATTACTGATTGAAGCTGAGCTGATAGGTTAGGACTGATAATATTGCCAATTCTTCTTTGGATTTTATCAAAGAGCTCAAGGTAAATAGCAGGAACACTGGACAATATGTGACAGCAATAGTCTAAGCATGCGTGAATGGTAGAGATATAGATATATATGATAGATTCTGGAGAGAAAAATTTGAGAAAAACATTTATACAAAAAAAAAAAAAAAAAAAAAAAACAGTGTACCTTCAAAGTTACCTTCCTCTATTTTTATTAACAATGTACCGGTGACTGAAGGGGGAAAAAATGTCTATATTATAATAGCAAATTAAGACATTTTACTCTGGTTCCAAACTCACCAGGAGAAATGTGCTTGATGCAGTTTTATTGAATAAACTTTTCCTGCTTTTTTATGTTGAACAAATCTTTTTGGAAAATATATTGATTTTTTTTTTTTCTATTGAATATTCATGATTGTCTTTATATTATCATTTACTTGACCCAGCCGGCAAGGTTGTGCCTTAGGCAATAAAAAAAAAAAAAAAAGAGGCAGACAGTAGAAAAATGGACTAGCCACATCACTTAATGGCCTGGAAGATCCTTCACAGAGACTTGGACATTGGCATGCAACCGAGAAAAATGGAGGAAGATGGTCAGGTATTCAAGC